ATGGTTGGAGTGTAGGATCGGTTTGATTCCAAACAGTGTACCTTACTAGCTGTGTGCCCTTGGGCAATTTATTTAACCTCTGTGTGCTTTACAGTTTTCTCTACTGTAAGATAAGAATAGTAGTAGCTGCTACATCATTGGATTGTTGTGAAAATTAAATGTTTCAACATATGTACAAACTTAGAATATTGCCTGCAATGGTAAGCACTATATAAATGTCTGTTATTACTACTATCAAAAACTACTGCTGTCAAAATTACTCAATTTAGTGGGTATTTTATGCCCGAAGAATGCAGGTCATCAGCCTAAGGAAGACCATAATATAATATAACAATATATTAACCTGTATTGCAATGATCAGGTTTCATCATTTTGCATAATCTGTGTTAGATGGTCCATCAACCATTATTTTTACTCATTTGGCAAACATCTACTAAGTGCTTCCTCTGTATGAGGCCCTATGCTAGGATACAATGACAAATCAGACATAGGCCCTAGCCTCAAGTATACCCAGTCTTGTAAAGGAGACTCATGAAAACAAATAATTGAAATGTGATATGTTGAATGTTAAAATAGAATAATTATACCCAAGGTAGAGTGATGGGGAGAGAGGATGGGGTTAAATGAGGAAATGAGTGGATTAGGTTTTGCAGGATGAGGAGATATTTTCCAGGTAATCAAAGGAGAGGCAGACATGCAGGAAGAGGAACCAGTTTATATAAAGAGAACTGTCAAGATGAGTTTGGGGAACCATAAATGATTAATATGGTTGGAGTGTAGGATCCATGGAGAATTAGAAATTAAGGTTAAGGGCTGTCTCATAGACTAACCTGTCAAGATCGGCATCTTCTCAGGCATTTGGGGATTTGTTCTTGCATTAGCCCACCTCTTGATTTTTGTTTTCTCAGACTTAGCTCTTGACTCTTACAGAAACTAAGCATTTAATCTCCTTGTTTCTTCCAAGCTTGAATTTGCTGGTTGTGAGTTTTTGCAAGGTTTTACCCTAATGCAAATAAAAAATAAAAGTGGCAAGGATTCCTTTTAAGTGTGAGAAGAATCTCTACCTCTTGCCCCTGCCCTACTATGTCCCATCCAAAGTCAAGGCATCCTTGGCAGTTTTCCAACCACTAATCCTTTCCGATAAGATGCTAAAGACAATTTTTTAAAAAAATATTTAAACTCTAAAAACCTCCTTTCTATCCTCACTTAACACTAAAGAAATTGTGATTGCCAAGATCTCTGTGACAGATTCTCAACATGGGCAAAAGACCCAAGCCCAAGTCCCCATATTGGAGGTTTTATCTGGACCCAGACTCCTGAATCAAGTTTGGAGATTCACATTTTTAGAACTCCAATCTGGGCTGCTGCATAGATGGTAAGCGTTTGGGAATCCCATCCCAGACAAGATCCTTAGAACAGCAGAGTGGCTGGGACTTCAGTCTTTAGAGTTAGATAGAATTAGGTTCAATTCCCATCTCATCCTCTTACTAACTGAGTGATTTGGGGATAAATGTCTTGAGAATCTGTCTTTGATTGGTAAATGGTTTTAATAATATGTATCTTGATGAGTTGTTATGAAACTTGAAGACTATATCTATTTACTGCTTGCCACAGTGCCTTGCACAGAATAAATGCTCAATAAAAGGCAGCCGTTACGCCAAAGCCAATGAAGATTTCATCTCTAGCTAATGCTCTTTTCTTTTAAATGCCCTCAGCTTCTCTTTAAGTTCCATAGCTGTTTTTGATGTCAAGTCAAGGAAACTCTTTGATATCTCAGGGGTAGTAGGAAAATTTTCATCTTTCCTTGAGAAACCACCGACATGATTCCTCATCCAACCAGCAGTATTTGAGTAGGTAACTTATCTGGGTGACCATTCCCTGAAGCTTGAGCCCCATTCAAACAATCATAAACCCCAGTTGGGTGCTTTGTGGGATTCAGCATAGGAAAAAGAGTCAGGTTTTCTGATTTTCTAATGACGAGGTCTTGTATGTATCCATCCATGCATTCATCCAAGACATCTTTTACTTTGGAAGTTCTTAAAACAGGATAATCTCTTACTGTGCTTGTGTGTGTTTGGGGTGACTACACATGAAATAATATCCCAGAAATCTCCCCCATCTCTTACAGTTCATTATGTCTGAAGAAATCACAGAAAGTGAGCTCTGAGGCAAAACTTTCAATTTACACCTTGTTGTCAGGGGCAATTAGATTCTCTATCCTTCTTTCTGTGAAGTACATGAAAATTTCATATGAAAAACCAACCAATTAAATACACTATTTTATCTTTCTTGGGGATCATTCCCTGGATAGCTGTCTGAATAGATACATAAACAGAAGAATGGATTTATGAGTTCTAAGTACTGGATGATGTTCCAGAGATATGAAATCAATAGGATATGCCTCTTCCTTCAAGAAGTATGCAGTCTAGTCTCTAGTGAATGAGAGAGAGAAATGAATTAACAATTATATAGAGAGTAGAGGAATCCGTGGGACAAGTGTGAGGCCCAACACAGCCTGGGGTCCAGGTATTCTTCCTGAAACAGTGATGCTAAATGTAAGATTTTCAGAAGAGGGAGACATGGACCAGCTAAGGGAAACCACTTGCATAAATGTGGAGGGAGACAAGACAAGAAATAGTGACTCAGATGGTTTCATGTGCATGAACGTAGAGTGGCTGAAGTAGTCACAGAAGATGAGGCTACAGACGTGCAATACCAAAATTCCAAGGGATTTTACATATTAGGCAGACCTTACACTTTATCCTGACAGCTACTCAGAATTCAGAATTTCAGGCGAGAAAGTGGTAGCATCAGCCTGACATTTTAAATCACTGACAAAATGGTGAAAAATAGATTAGAGAAAGGCCAGCCGCATTCAGGGAAGCCAAGGATTTAGGCAGGATGCAAGAAGGGCCTGAATGCAAAGTGATGGAAGAGGGACGGACGCAGAAAGGGGACAGGTTGTGTGAGACTTGTGGCTGAGTGGTTTTGAGAAGTGAGCTAGAGGGCAGGCTCTGAGATGGTTCTCAGGGTTCTGGCTTGGGTTTGGGGGAATTAAAGGGTGACACCATTCCTCAATGAAAAGAATATGAGACTAGAAGTATGATTTAATGTAAATATGATTGTTTTTGATAATCAGTTTCTATGGGGTATCCAACAGGCATTTGAATGTATTGGTTTGGTGTTCAGTTGAGTGGTCTGGACTGGAGATGCACATGTCTAGAAGCCATTGTGTAGAAGTGGTGCATGAATCTGTGGGGTGCCAAAGGGGAGGAGGGGATGAAGTGAGAAAAATAAGGTCAGAGGATAGAGCCCTGAGGCACGTGGAGATTTAAGAGGCAAATAGAAGGAGAGTCTTCGAAGGTTAATGAGAGAAGACAGGAGACGGAGGAAGACCATGGTAACTTGGCATTATGGAAATCAACAGAAAAGTTTCAGAGAACTCAAACTTGGTAAGGGCAGAAAAATGTCAACCAGATTGACTATGAAGGTCGTGGAAGTTAGCTCCATGCAGTGGTGTAAATGAAAGTTAAAGGTAAAGGGTTGAGAGCTATCTATGAAGGGTGAAGAAGTTGAGACTTTTCTTTTAAGATAAAGAAGGGAGGGGAAAAGATGGGGGATTATGGAAAGACTATTATTATCTCCCCTAGTAAGCAATTCATTGTTCAACAGTCCTTCCTATTAGGAAATTTTTATGTCCAAGTTATTATGTTTTTAATCTTTTAAAAAATTAAAAGGTTAATGTTAATTTTTTTGTTCTGAACAAAATTAATTTCCTAAGAGCCATGCTTATTACACAAAGATTGATTTATTTTTAAATTATAGCAATCTTGACCAAAGATATGTGAAAATGATTTCAACTCGCTGGTATTGGGGTTATTTACAAGTACCTGTAAACAGTTTTACCAAGCAAGATTTCTTTTGCCATATGTTTGGATATCCCAAAGGAAAAATCTGATCTCAAGAGTTAAGAACAGAGGAAGGCAATTGTGTTGTCTCTGAGTTGGAATTTTAAAATGTTAGTTCTAAAGCTGTTCCAATAAAATATGCTTTCTAAAATGTTGGAAGGTCTTCTATTACAGCTAATGGATTTTATACATAGATACGTGTTATGTTTATCCATTTGTTTAGGTTTTATTATTATGTTCTTCAGTAAAATCCTAAAGCTCTCTTTATATTCGTCTTATATCTTTTTTGTTTAATTTATTCTAAGTATTTTAGTTTTTTCTCCTATTGGTAAATGGGAATTTACGCTCACTTTTCTAACTTATCGCTAGAAAAGAGAAAACTATTCCAGACTATTAATTTTGTACTACCTGAACATATTTTGTTATTAATGCTAATTGTTTTTAGTAAAGTTTCTTGAGCTTTCTAATGTACAAATCATATTATTTGCAAATAAAGGTAAGTTTACCTTCAAAAAAATGCTTTCTACCAAAGTAAGAGACCAGTGAGAATATATAGTTCAAGGCAAATGTCATTTGGAATGCCTTTTTATATGTATATACACACACATACACACACATATGTACATACAATATATGTATATACGTGTATTTACGTGTATTTTTTTTTCTTTTGTGGCTGACCAATACGTGAATCTCCAAACTTGGTCCGAACCCTTGGCCTTGGGGCTATAACACCACACTCTAACCAACCGAGCAACCAGCCAGGCCCTGGAATGCCTTCTTTAAATGTTAGACATTTTAGCAACATCTGTTCTAAGAACAGAACAGTGAGAACCTAAAATATCTTTGGAAGAGAAAACTCACAAGGAAGCACGATCATTTAGGCAACATCTGGCATGAATTACCGTATTAATTTTCTTTGATTTGCTAGTCTTTCTATGACAGCTGCAATGCTTTTTTCCAGAGCAGGAATCAACGCAGCCATAACTCTTCTCCCATCTGGGGTTCATTTTCTTCTTAGAGGAGACACAAAGGGTTTGAAGGAAACATGCTTTATATTTTGCTATATTTCCATTCCTTGTTTTGTTTCAGGGGCCTCCAGGACCTGGAGGAGAGGCAGGGAATCAAGGCCATCCGGGAATCCAAGGAAAAAAAGTAGGTCACATTCTTTATACCCACCAAAGTGGGGGTTTTCTACTCAAGAGAATTGTGCCTGTTTGTATTAGCCAGCGCCCTTTCAACATCAAGAAAGCCACATCTCACTGTCCCTAGACCCTGGCTTGATTCCTAGAGAGCCAGAAACCTCTAAGGACATGGGTGTGGACCAGAATGAGATCAAGGATTCCAGCTCAGCCTAATCTCATGAGGAGCTACACCCAGTCGGAGCTGAGGGATCTCAGGGAACGAGGGGTGGTCCTGGGGCAGGCCTTCCTTTCTCTCTCCCACCCTCTCTGCCTCCGTCTTTCCTTCCCATTTTCTCTCCCTCCCATTTTTCCTCCCTCCCTCTCTTCTTCCTTCCTTCCTTACTTTCCTCCATTCATACAAACCTTAGCTGAGTACCTTTGAAGACCAAGGCACTGTACTAAGCATTCAACTGGGCTGGAAAATCAGCTCCAGGAGAGTAGAGATCTTTGTTTTGTTCATTAGTACATCCCTAGAGCTTAGAACAGTGTCTGATATGTAATAAATGCTTAGTAAATATTTGCCAAATGAATGAATTTCTGGGTTATTTAATGGTAAATATGACATGAAATTAATCCCACAGAATTTAGAAAATTTTCAAGACAATAAGCTATGACATAAAGTAGGCAGGGATAAGGTGCTACAGTGGGGGTTAAACACTGCATTAATAAAAGTGTTTCTGGGTTGGGAAAAGAGGCATCATAGAGGATACAGATTTTGAGTGGGTCTTAGAAGACAAGGATTAGGCAAGCAGGGCGGAGTTGTGGGGGATTTTAGTTAAAAGAAACAGTGAGAAGGAAGACACGGGGTTGGAAAGTCCTAAATAGGCAACCCAATGTAGAAATATTTTGAAGCCTGACAGATTGAAAACTAGGAGACCAGTTGTCATACTCTCATGGACTCCAAGACAAGCAGTGATTGGGTGACTTATTAGGGCAAGGGCTTAACTTTCATGATTCTGTAGGACTCTTCTAATAGGAAACTAATGCAGAGAGAAGAGGCTAGATGCCTTGGGGGCTTCCAGCACGAGTGGTGACTCCATCACAGACATAGGGAAATCATGAGGAAGAGCAGGTTTAAAAGGAAGAAAATCACTTGGTTTCGGGGAGGAGAGGAAAGTGTTTAAGTCTGGTTGGAAATGCAGGTTTCAGAGTCATTTGAATTAAAAAAAAATTTAGTGATGCTTATTTATAAGAAGTTTAAGAAGAAACAGAAGACAGCGAATTATTAGGATGAGAGGAAAAGAAACAGAAAAGCACAGTGGATTCTAAGAAGAAGAGTTTAAGAAGGGGAGGTAAAGAGTATGAACTGGTACAGAAAAGTTAAGGGGACAGGAGTAGAGAATCCATGACATTCGGCAGATAAGAGGCTCCAAAGAATAGTGTCAAAAGCGTGGCAATTGAGAGGAGGAGGAAGGGAGACAAAGTGCAAGGCCTGAGCAATGTGCTGGTGAGCAGTAAATCGATACAGTGCTGTTAGCTACTCTTTGGAGAAACTCGGCCTTTAAGGAGAGGAGGACATTAACTACTCATACTGGCAAGGTCTAGGAATGGTTGCAGAGGGATATTGTTTGGGGAGAGACTGTAACATGTTTATGGTCAGGTAAGAGAAAACCAGGGAGAAAGAGGGAGATTGAAGATGTAAGAAGGAATAGATAGATATATAGGAACTCTCTACTATTTTATAATATTTCTTTAAATCAAAAACTATTCAGAAGTGTAAAATTTTTATTTTTAAAAAAAGGATTAGGGCCGGCCCGGTGGCGCACTGCTACAGTGCGCCACTTGGGAGCGCGGCGGCGCTCCTGCTGAGGGTTCGGATCCCACATACAGACCGGCCGCTCACTGGCTGAGCGAGGTGCGGGCGCAACACCGAGTGTTGCGATCCCGTTGCCGGTCCCGGTCCGGTACGGGCGCGACACTGAGGGTTGCGATCTGTTGCCGGTCACGAAAAAAAGACAAAAAGGGAAAAAAAAAAAAAAAAGGATTAACCTTCCTTTGTAAACCTGTATTAATTTTCCTGTGTAGCTGGACCTTCCTTAAAGTAATACTGAGATTGATTTACAGCCCACAGTAGATGATGTACTATTCAGAAGTCAGAAACTATTCCCAGGGATCCTGTGTTTTCTTGGTCATCTTGATTCATGCTCAAAATCTTAAAACCATATTAATAAATCTACTGTCTTTGCAGTAGCCAGATAATTTGCATGCATCATCACAGGAAACAATTTTGTTAATTTTTTTAAAGCAATACAGAGCTTCCTCCTTGACTCATGGGAAAGATGTTTTCACAGTACTGAGCTGCTAAAATGGCAACTTGCACTAAATAATAAATCAGCAGCCTTGCTGAGCCTTCACTTATCAGTGTAGGACATTTTATTGGCCAGTAGTAGCAGCTCCTCTTGTATCATTTGTACAACACACAGTCCTGGGCACAAACCTGTTGTCATGTGCGCGATACACATGGATGGAACTGAATGTTGTGTTAGTACCATCATTTCTGATTTCCATTTCAAAAATAATCTAATAAAGATATATTTCATTGTTCTGTTTAACAGGGAGAGCCTGGAGATCTGGGAGAAAAGGGAGCTATTGGCTTTCCAGGTCCTCGAGGCTTGCAGGTTTGTGTTTTATCACTACTTTTGATCTGGCCCTCGGAATCTTTTAGTTCAATAAATATCTGGTGTGGTTCTCTGAAGATTTTAAAAGAGACCATCCCAATCTGGCTTTATCGGGTTCTAGAAATCGTTAGAGATATCCTCATCTTGGATTAGTTCCTTGGCCAGTTTTCCCAAGGTGGCAATTCCCCAGGTACCAAACATCATGGCAGGGATGCTCTTGAAGCCAAACGGTAGAATGGACAAAATGTGTCTTTAGCATCCCCATAACCCTTCTTCCAACCTTTCCTCTCATCAGAACCTCTTCATCATAAACCCATCCCATCCTTCCCCCAATTCTGAGAGCTTCTCACTAAGGCCTTTTACAAAGGTCAGACAGTAGAAATTTAGGAGCTCTTGTTTTTGTTTAGCAAACTGAGAATGGATTAAAGCTAAGGTATTAAAATACAAATGTTATCCAAAAAAGGTAGTACTACTATACACTTTTATTGAAAGATACTATATGCCTGACATTTTCTCATTTAATTCCTCATGACAACACTGTGAGTAGGTATAATTATTATTCCCATTTTACAGATGGGAAGACTAAAGGATAGTGCATTGTCTGTGTCTGTTACTGACACTTGCCTTTTAGTGCCACTGTCTCAAAATGTTAGTGTCTTGCCCCAGAGGAAGGATCCTGCTCCCTAGCTACTTTCCCTTAAGCCAGAAAGCTGGCTATCTTGTCCTCTTGTGAGTAAGCCTACCTCTATCTGCAATTTGGGATGTTTGTAATTAATTTCTTTGCTTACAGGGCGATGATGGCAGTCCAGGTTATGGTAGCATCGGAAGTAAGGGAGCAAAGGCAAGTCACATCTACTGGAAGCTGGACATTTTCCATTTATTTTTTGTTGTTTGTTTGCTACATTTAAGAGAAAAAAGAAAGCACTGAATAAAGCAGTTCTGGACATTAAGAAATATGAGGGGTCTTCAAAAAGTTCATGGAAAGATTTGTATTATCTTTTAATTCCATTTTTTCATGAACTTTTTGAAGTACCCTTTTATGTTTTGGTAATTTATTTGCTGATACCCCATGGGGAACATGGTAGGAGAAAAGAGTGTAATGGCTTAAGGTGCAGGCAACAATTTAAACTTGAAAATGAATTTTCTGTTCTTTGCAGTGATGTGTGGCTAGGGCCTGATTTGTTCTAGCCTGAACAGCATATCTAATCTTAGCACCTCAGTCCTCAGCTTTACTCAGGGAGGTGTTCTAAAATTTGTCTTCCTCTTATTATGTTTGCTTTAGCCATTAGTGAGAGGTTTTTCAGGGTTTTTCTAAATCCATTGGGCAGTTCATCAGAATGGTAATTTAATATTGTCACTGAATATTTAAGTGGCTGGAAGTAAAATAGATGTTTATCAAGACAAGTGATTTCGATGTACCAGTAATAACCACTAAGAAATCATAATGAAAAAGAGCCAATCATAATTACAAAATCTACAAAAATATAATATAAAGACATCCTTTCTGCAAAATGTTTGAGATCTATGGCAAAGAATTACTGACATATAAAAAGAAAAGTTCATTACAGAGAAACATTTCAAAATCTTGCTGGAAAGTCTAAAATATTATAAAGGTTCAATGTAATTCCAAGTAAAAACCCAATGGAAATGATGCAAGAGGCTGCCTGGAAAAATTAATAACCAAAAACAGCTAAAACTTTTTTAAAAATAAAACTAGTGAATGAGCGATTTCCAGTGAAGTGTTCATTAGAATAGAGACTAGCTGAAAACAATCTTAATGTCACATACAAAGGGAAATATTAAGTAGCTAAGGGCATTGGAATATTAGCGATGCTATAAAATGAATGTATGTGAAGTTTATAATTATGTAAAGAAATTTTTATGTGGCAAGTAAAACTTCAGAAAAACATTTATTCCCAATTGTGCTAAAATGCATTTCAAACAGCTAAAAGGAAATATAACAAAATATGTATAATAGTTCTGGGTAGTAAGGTTTGGGTGGTTTTTATTCTTTCTATTCTTTTATATTTTATATATGTTTGAGGATTTACTACTTTTAATAACCAAAAAATAAACTTTATTTTAAATATTTGTTTTTTCCATTAAATAGATTATTTTACCTTGTCAACTGTAGTCTTTGGCCAAAATAAGGTCAACAGAGAGCCCCAAAATGAATGGTCAAGTTTAGACTCTCTATAAGCTTCCTAAGTTTCTCTGCTGAAATCCATTTTAAGAAGGTTGTTTCATTTAGAAAACTAGAGGTGGAAAAGGGGAAGGGAGGCGGAGAGGGGGGCTCATGAGGAACTGGTCAATGGACACAAAGAATGACTGCGTATTGCAACAGTAAGCTTCCTAAGTTTCTCTGCTGAAATCCATTTTAAGAAGGTTGTTTCATTTAGAAAACTAAAGGTGGAAAAGGGGAAGGGAGGCGGAGAGGGGGGCTCATGAGGAACTGGTCAATGGACACAAAGAATGACTGCGTATTGCAACAATGAATAAGCTAACTATACTGATCTAACCACCACACATTCTACACAGTTATTGAAAATCAACGTTGTACCCCACATATATGTATAATAAAAAATAAATTAATAAAAATAAATTAATTAATTAAAATAAAAAGAAGGTTGCCTCAGAGACACATGGCCAAATGACCACCTATTCTGCTATACACATACAGAGGAGAGCTGATTTGCGGTTCCTCAGATGTGTACTTTTAGCCACTTATGTTCTCATGATATTTTGGTAGAACCAGTAAGTAGTTTAATTTAGAAATTGGAGATAGTTTCTCAAATAGTGCTGTACGGTTTCTAGTTTTCATTTGTTTTGGCCCTTCCTTGGTTCAGAGGTACTAAAACTAAACAAAGCAGCAGGTAAAAATTAAATTCAGTATACACCTACTGGGGTGATGTGTGCGTATGTTAATTTCCTCTACTGTCAATTATAGGGACAAGAGGGATTCCCTGGAGAAAGTGGACCTAAGGTATTGTATACTTCCTGGTAACTAGAGATCACTCAGAAATACTCCTGGGGTTATGAAATATATCCTAAGCCAATGGAAGGATAGTTAATCACAAATGAATGTTCTACCTTTGTGGGGGAAAGGAGAAAAGAAAGAAATAGGCCAATTTTTTTTTCAATTTTTAAGACTAGAAGTGTAAGACTTTTAAAAAATATTTTATTTCTAGTCTTTTAATTCATAGGTAAAGGAAGAAAGATAATCCTTTTTTAACTTTTCTTCTCAAATGTACTCCTTCCCCTCTGTCATATGTATTTTCTTCTTTGCTCAAAGGAAACTAAAATGTAAAGAAAACTAAAATTGTCAGATATTGACTGGCTCAATTTTCACTGTATGTTTATAAATCATCTCCAGATCACAAGTTAGTAATGATATCCTCCCCCTTAAGGCTTTCACTTTTTCTAGAAATGCTTACTGAACTCAGTAAATGCCAGGTCCTGTGATAGGGTCGGAGGACAAAATAAAGGGCATGGTTTGTTTCTCCAAGAAGCCTGTGTTCTGGCTGGGAAGACAGAGCAGTAAAGCAATGGAGATGCAGTGAGCTGTGGAGAGAGCTGTACGAAAGAAAAAAAAGCAAAGAAGACCATTAAAGACAAAATGTATATGAAAATATCTTCATGTTGGAATTAGTTTAAAAAGACGAATATATCTCCTTGAGATAATTATTCGATTTTAATAACCATTTTATTTAATGAACTTATTTAGGGTGAGACTGGGGACCCCGGTGGTCCTGGAGAGACAGGACCCAAGGGAGCTGAAGGCAGAATGGTAAGCTTCTTAGATTCCAGCTGCTGACAACCTCAGTTACTGTGGGAAGTCCTCCTTCATGCATTTACAATCATCTGAGTTGTCTCTTGTTCCCAAAAGACGTGTAAAATGTGCATAGTTTTGTTAAGGCAAACTTGGGGAAGGGAAATGGATGTATTACTCATCCCTCAATGCCAGCGAGAAGGCAATGAACTGTTTTAGTCAAGTTCACCTACACTGGCTGCCAACGTACCTTTCTTAACACTGGAAATGAGTTTTTAAGGAATCCTGCTGATCCAAAACAGGTTTTGCAATCCCAAAATATGACCAGTTTAATCCTGTCTCCCTGGCAGATTTAGTGCAACCTAAAGCCCATTGGCGTCTTGTCTTTGCTATTAAGGTTTTTTAAAAACTACTTTTAACGAGGTATATGCTGAAAGGTCCTCTCCTCATTTAGCTCAAGAGGGTATCTCATGCGCTTTGTGAGAAAGTTCTTATTCCTTATGTCACTGACTATATCTTCCTGATTTTACGGAGGGGCTTAGACATTGCCTAATGCTTTTGAATCACCCGGAATAAATATGAGTCTCCAGGAATCTTATTAGGCTTCCTTAGGTTCTAGTGCGTTCAGAATGGATTTCTTGCATTTGGTGACTGTACGCCTTACAGTATATATAAATGAGATGGCTATAATAAAAAAAATCTTAAGATAATTGTCTCTCAATACAGCCTTCATCTCTTCTCTTTTCTTCAGAACAGCACTGATCAGGTGAACTGGTCTTGATATCATGTCAATTAGCAAGAATTTTCAAAAGTCTGATAAAAATTTATACTTCAGGTATAAGTACTGTGCATACCTTTGTCTTCATAGTTAATTTTACTCTAATCTAGTTTTTTTTCCTACAAACTATAACAACTTTATGCATAGAGATTATTTGTGTAAGTTTTAGGGGTTCAAAAGAAGGAAACTTCTCTTTCCCTCCCTCCTGCTTATCCCAGGAGGATGGCTTCCCAGCTATAATTCTTTTCCTTATACATGTTTTTGGATGGCTATCCTTTAACATTATGCTCTCAAAATGAAATGAAGACTGATGTAATTAGAAAAATAATTGAAAAAGACTTCCAAATTAATTCAGATGTCATCTGCATTGAAGCATCTCTGGATCATTTCCCTTGGCTTGTTAATGAAGTAGTTTAACCTTGAACATCAGAAGCATGCTAACAAGTTGCTAACAAGTTCAGCTGTTAGTTGGTTCCTCCCTCCAGTAGCCCATTAATCATTTTTTTTTAAAGCCAATAAACTAACAGGAAACAAAAACTTTTTCTCTTGGCCGTTGGAAATATTTGAATTTCTTTTTTGTTCTCTATGTTGGACAGTTTATCACTGTTTGTAACTTGCTTATTTCATCTACCCACCTGCTTTTTCTACCTCTCCATGATCATTTTTGGATTTGAAGTAAAAGTTTAGATGTTGAAAAATTCCAGGTTTTCCCATGAAGTTTCTATAGGAAGATTTTGGTAAAAGTTTGCCCTAAATTCTGAGTGCCTCTTCCATATTCTGGAATGATTATATGAGGGTACTTCAAGGAGGTTGTGGAAAAATAGAATTAAAAGATAATGTGAATCTTCGCATGGACTTGTTGAAGACCCCTTGTATTTCCCATTTAAGTTCACTAAATCTTCACCTAGATTTGAAAAAAAAATTTTTTTTAAAAATTTCTCCATATGCATGTATGTTTGTATATGTTTTACTTTTTGTTTCTTCTTTTACCCACTTTACACGTACACATAGATTAGAGCAGGATCTGCAACCTCAGCACTGTTGCCACTTGGAGCTGAATGATCCTTTGTTGTGGCGGGCTGTCCTATGCATTGCAGGATGTTTAGCAGCATCCCTGGCAATACCCACTAGATGCCAGCATCAACCACCCTCCTCCCCCCACTATAACAACCAAAAATGTCTCCAGACATTGCCATATGTCCCAGGAAAGGGGTGTGTGTGTGGAAATTCTCCCCAGTTTGACGAGTCATATAACTTCACAAGGTTTGTTACTGGAGAAAAAAAAAGGCAGTTCCTCTTCTGCCCCACTCCCATTTCCTTCTCCCAGAAACAACTTTTATTTTTTTAACTGATTCTTTTGAAATTGACAAATTTCGTAAATATCTAGCTTGTATTTCTACTTTTTGATTTTTGAGTTTTAGGCATTATGAACTGACTTCCTACTCCAAAAGTTGCTGATGTATGTGTCTTAATTTGCCATTTGTCTAAACTCCTTCCGAAGATATTTAGATGCAGCAGATATTCTGTCATATTTAACCGTGACCACAGCCTTCTGACCTGACCAGCCTGACCTGGTTGCCCGCTCTGCCCAGTGCTCGGCGGCCGCACTGCAGTTGCCCTTCACCTCCACTGGGGCTTGCCTTGCCTCTCCTCTGTGCTGGATCTCTGCTTCTCGCTCTCATTCCCATGCTGTTGGATTTCTTCCTTGTTTTGTGAAAACTCATCCAGTTAGCCGACTAAGGAGGAATGAATGAGAGGTACATTTTTTTGATACAGCTGACATCCGAAAATGGCTTTATACTACTTTCAGATGTGATTAATATTTTGGCTCATATACAATTCTGGGTTGGAATTAATTACTCAGAAGTTTGAAGGCAGTCATTTCTCCATTATTTCTAGCTTATTTTGTTGCTTTGGGAAGTCCAGTGCCATTCTAGTTCCTGATCTTTTGTCTGTGACCTGTACTCTCTGTCTGGAACATTGTTGGATCTTCTTTCTGTTCCTAGTGTTTTGATATATCATGATTATTTTGACCTGGTGTATGGTCCATTTTTATCCATTTTCCTGGGCATTGGGTAGGTCCCTTGAGCCTGGAAATGTATGTCCTTGCACTCAAAGAATGTTCATTAATTATTCTGATGATTTCTTCCCCTCTGTTTTCTCTATCTCCTACTTTTGAAATACCTATTATTTAATATATTAATGTAGTTCTTTGATTTTCTTATGTCTTCTCCCCTGTTTTCTAGTTCTTTGTCTTTTTGCTGTACTTTCTGGGAAAGTTCTTTGACTTTATCTTGTAATGTTTCTCTCATACTTTAATTTTCAAGAGCTTATTTTTGTTCTCTGAATGTTCCTTTTTTTATAGTATACATGTTTTGTTTTGTGGTTGAAATACTTATCTCTCAGGATATAAATGAGTATTTTAAAAGTAGTCTTTCACAATGTAGTCTGTTTCTTGCAGTTTGTGGTTGGCTTTTTTATTTGTTAGTTTGTTTTCTGTTTTGATCTCTATTTCTCACATGTCTCAGGAATGAGCTAAGTCTTCATCTTTAAAAATTGAGGACAAAAAAGACTTATTGGAAGCCCTGAAGTCATGAGTAGGGCTTGTCCTCTACAAGTTTCACTGGAGAGTAATCTGGCTGAACTCTTTATTGAGCAGACCTCTGATATCAGTGTCTTTAGGTCTTTCTTCCTTGTCTAGTAAAATTCCCCTGAAAAAAATTATTTCAATTTTCTGCCTGGAGAATAAAGGTCTGACTGCCGGCTTTCCAGGAGCCACATGGGAAAAGAGCTGGAGGACTCGCATCTGCTGTGCATACCTCCATTTAATCTCCCTGTTTCAGCACGTACCATTGGTCCTCAGCTCTGCCTGAAGTCCCTCCTCAGTCTACCTCTATTTATTGCCAGGGTGGAAAAAGGGGTATTCACCCAACTGTTGAGAATGGAGAAGAGATTTGGGGATTCCTAAAATGATTTTCAACCTAACCTCCTTATTTAGCCTCTTCCCTTTACCTCCACTTCTGAATGTATCTTACGCTGCCTAGTCATGAGTCTTCTGGGAATGTGTGGTAGAAATAAAATACATTGGTTCTTGGCTTTCCCTGCTGCTGGCTTAGGATTCAGCTTTCTCAGGTCTGCTAAGTTATTTAACACTTACACATCTGCTTTCCAGCCTCCAAAATTTTATGGTTATTTTCTCCTTTCTTGTTCTTATTATTGTTTTTTGTTTGGTTGGTTTTTGCCTTTTTAAAAAGTAAGATATTGGAAAGGAACAAAAGTAAATGTATATATTCAATCTTCTGTTTTTTCCTTGGAGGTTAACCTATATCTTCTAAACAAAACATGTTCAATAAGTTTTTTTTATCCCCACGCAACCCAGCACCCTGTCAATATCATTGAAATATCCAAAGTGTTACTGACAGACCAGGCTCTGTTTGCCCTCTCACATTAAACAAATGACTCAAAAGTCCAGAAGTTGGTGCAAGGATTAGAAGGTTTATTCAGATAACTGGCATCTGGGGGATGACCAGGCTAAAATCATCCCAACTTTTGATGCCTGTTCTGGGGCCTATAAAGGGGAAGAGGTGGGAAGATGAGGTAAGGGTCTTTGTTCTGAAGAAAAAGGGGGAGTTGGGGGGGGCAGCAAATGGTCTGAGTCAGATGTCAGGGTCCCATGATGGACTGGGAACTTCAGTATCACAGAATCTGTGGTCAGCTTCAAGTCCTTGATGTTACCTCAGGGTCAGAGTCCTTATATCCTAGGGAGAGCTCAAGGATAATAACCTCAGTCAAACATCATAAAAATACCTGACTTGGATTTCTAATTAACATGGATGCAGTTTTTCTTTAAGTAAGAGGGGGAGTTGACAACCAGCTAGGTTGTCTTGCCTCTCTCTTATATCTCCTCTTGTTTGCAGCTGATTAGAGAGGTAAGAAAAGCAAGAAACTTACTTACAGTCCTTAATTGTAATGCACAACCTCTGAAGTAAATCAACATAAGAGGGGGGTGATTTCATCTCCAGGCAGTCTCAGCCATGTGGTCAGTCTCAATTCTTCTGTTAACCTCAAGGAATTGATGATTATCAGTTCCCAAGTTAAGGGCTGACTGAAACATTCTGCTTGGTCTTAGTTATGCCAAAAAGAGTTGTTTTTCTGGCTCAGGTCCCTTTGAAAAAAGACATCAATAATTATTTACTGTCTCATAGGCAATGCTCTTACAAATTAAGTTGATTTTAGGCAACTTCATTTTTTATTTCTGTAAAGTTGTAAATCTTGTGGCATTGTGAATAAAGAAATATTGTACCAATTTTTAAACTAAATCTTAGCTTTCTTTATAATAAATTGTATTGCTGAATGCACATGGAAATTTTTCTAGCATGTAGTAAGTAGTTAACAACTGTTGTTTTTACTACTGTCATTATTCCTCATTTCAGTACAAATAATTCTAACCAATAGTTAAGTGTTATTGTTTTAAAGGTGTTCATATTTAAATTTTGTTTTTCTAGGCTTTTTGTTTGTTTTCAGTTTAGTCACTTACCATCTCATTTGGAGAAAAAGTTCTCCTCTGACCCAACAATTCCAGTCCTAGCAATCTTTCCTAAGGAGATAATCAGAATTGTGCATATAGCTTTATAATAATATTGCTTACTACAATAACAAACCTAAATGCCAGCAATGAGGGACTGATTAAATAGATCATGGTACATCCATGTACTAGAATACTATGCAGCCATACCAAAAAAAAAAAAAAGATTTTGCAAAAGAATATTTAGTAACATGAAAATGTCCAGAAATATATATTTAGTTTAAAAGGCAACAGGAAAAAGTATGATCCAAATAAGTTAAAATGAATATAAATCTTAATACCAAAAAGAATAAGAAAAGACACCAAAAAGTGAATGAAGATTATTTGGGGAAGAAGGGATTGCTGGGGATTTTTTTTTTCCTTCTTTTTTTGGAAATATCTCAACTTTCTAAAATAAAAGTAAAGTATTTTCTTTTGAATTTTTACCTTTGAAATTTAATTTTTTTAAAATTTGAATTTAAAACACATACACATATATAAATATATAATATAATTTTAAAATAAATAACTTCTGCTTTAAGATATCTGCTGGGCTTCCAGGAGAGATGGGATCCCCTGGGGAGCCAGGACCTCCTGGACGCAAGGTAAGTGGAAAAGCTATAAATCACACCAGGTCCTTTTCCACTTAAAAAGTCAGTGCATGGAAACTTCATTGTCCAAATGTACATGCCTTCTGTCTCTGCTGTTTGTCCACTATTTTCACTATTTTTTTCCACTTATATGGGCTCAGAGAAAGAAGAAAAATGCTGATTAAGTATATCTCTTGGGAGGTGGGGGAAATTGAGGGAGAAAATGAAAAATAATAGAGTAAAATGAGATTTCTCAATTAGCAGTGAATTTTATTTATTTGCCCAATCATTGTTCTTTTCTTACATTTAATAAGTGACCAGTGAATGAATGGAAGTGAAAGTGAAAAGAAATTAATAAATGGTGAATATGATCAAAGTTGCATTTACATGGAACTTATTATTTGTTTCAGGAGTTTGTGTGAGGCTCCATTGCATTTTTCCTTGGGTTTATCTCTTTGAGAGTAGCCAGACTCTTCCTGTTCCAAAGATGGGATTGAACACATGAAATTAGAACAATCCCACTTTGTCCTTTCTATCCCCAACCCAGACAGATATATATATATATATATATATATATATATATATATATATTCATTTTTGGAAGACAGTTGAGATAACCTTTCCAGATGTTCAGTTTGGGTCTGGTCCCTTTGTCATGCAACCAATGATGGGAACAGATTAAGGTTCCGCTCTGGCTACTGCTCAGGCAGAGCATGGGAGTTGAAGAGTTCTGAACTCCTGCTGTAAGAAGGGGCAGCGCACACAGGTGCTTCGGCCTTGGCTACTCCTGAGTGGTGGGTTGGGTCTTAATCTCTGCAGGCCAGTGTCAAGTTGTCAGTTTCATCCTCAGACTCCGGACAACTCTTGTCATCCAGAGATGGAGCTGGAGGAAGGTGGCCTTTGGGGCTTGTATGCATCAAGCTCGCTGCTTATAGTTGTTCCCCTTAGAATGTTACTGTTAATGGGCCGACCCCGTGGCACACTCAGGAGAGTGCGGCGCTGGGAGCGCAGCGACGCTCCCACCGCAGGTTCGGATCCTATATAGGAATGGCCGGTGTGCTCACTGGCTGAGCGCGGTGTGGGTGACACTACACCAAGGGTTGCGATCCCCTTCGTTACTGTTAATAAGGTGATGAGAATCCTAACTGTGTTCTTTTTTCCTCTAATTTAATAAGACTTAAACTTCTAAAAGTTATCACTTTCTTAGGGCAATGTTTGTGCACATTCTGGCAACTAATGTGTGTATCCGGAGATGTAAAACCTTTTTTTTTCTTTCCCTAGGGTGTGAAAGGGGCAAAGGGATTGGCTCCATTTTCTGTAGGTATCTCCTGACTTCAACAGAATGCTCTCAGCATTTCATGGAATTAATGTATTTTTAAACTTCAGGAACTAGCAGCCTGTTGGTTAACTCTTTCTGTTTTATGTTTGAACTGCAGACATGTGAGCTCATGCAGTATGTGCGGGACCACAGTCGTAAGTACCCTGCTTACAATGATCACCTAAGTTGTCAGCATTCACAGAAGGAAAGCAGGGAGCTATATACTCTTATACCTTAGGCCATTTGCCAGCCAATTTCTAAAAATTAGAGATGTCGCTGCATATATTTTGAGTTGGTATAAACTGATGACTATTAAATCTCTCTCTGGCTGCCAGCATGTCTATTGGAACCCGTCCCAAGCTCTAAGCAATAATATATCTAGTGCTTTTTATCTAGGGAAGATTGAGATCAATCAGTTGGAGAGACACACTGAACTTTTTTTGAACGATTATTAACGCCTCACAGTAACTGACAAGATCGAATTCATCTGGTGTGAAAGAGGCAGCTGTGATAATAGGGTGTCCTGGTGGGCAGAAGCCCTGACTTTGGTTTATTGTTTATTGTTCTTTTCCCCCCAAAAAGATATGTTTGATTACTTTTAGTTGGAATGATTGATTTGCCTGTAAAACTCATAATAATACTCATCTTGCCAACATTTTTTTCTCTCTCTCTCAATATTTTTAAAGCAAAAAGGCATTTTGATTTGGCAAATGCTCTTTTGGATTTGTTTTACGACCCTTATAACAGCCTCTTCCATTAAAGTATGTGTTGGTATGATAAAAAGATAAAGAAAATTCCATGTACAAGATAAAAAGAGAGTTGACTAATGTTCATCCATAAATCCATAATGACTTCCCAAATAAACAATATGACTGAAAGGAAGAGTCAAAACTCCCCTCAAGGCATTGTGGGGGATGAAAATAGATGAATTAGAGACAATTTCTGTAGAGAGTATTAGTCTCAAAGACATAGACCTTGAAGATGCAGTGTTGATCAGAACTCTGCCTTTTTGTAGTGGAAAGAAACCATTATGGGAATCAAAATGTGTACATTGGTTCATGAAGGTTGGTGTTTTGGGGGCTGAATTAGCACAGCAGGTTTTCTGACATAGCCATATGAATTGTTCCTACTCAAGTGCAGACCCAAGTGTGGTAAGACCTGATCTTCTAAAGTTTGAAGGGCTCAGTACAAAATTACAAATCCGAAAGTAGGTACAAAGTTGTTTGAAAAATAAGTGTTATTTAGAACAAGAAAGGAAATCACAACCAATGACTTCTGCATATTTTATGAAAGCACATGACCATGTGAACAGCATGGCTAGGGCCCCTGCAAGTGAGAGGTCTAAAGCAGCGCTGTCCAACAGAACTTTCTGCAATGAGGGCTGTTCTCCTGCGCTGTCCAAGATGGTAGCCATGAGCCGTACGTGGCTTTAAGCACTTGAAATGTGGCTAGTGCAAGTGAGAAGCTAAAATTTTATTTCATTTAATTTTAATTAATGAAAATTTAAATAGCAACATGTGGCTCGTGGCTGCCACATTGGACACTGCAGGTCTAAAGCAAATGTTTATTTGCTTCAGAGTTAATCTACCCTTGATATTATATATAATATATACATATATACATATATACATGTACTATACACACATATAGGCACATTTATATATGTATGTATATATTGTACATATATTTTGTATATATACATATCTTCATGGGGAAGATTAGGACCTTTTAACTTTCCAAATTCAGTGCACCTCCCTGCAACAGCATGTTCCCTCCCAGACAGAGGTTCTTTGCCTCTGACAGCTGCCTGCAGGCCACTGATTTATGGCCGTATATTGTCTCACTTCTCCCATTCCCTTCCCTGTGGGAGGAATAGTGATTTTTAAACAAGATGCTGGCCTCTGTCTGCATTTTCTCCAAACCCTATCTGTTGCCTTGATTTCTGAGTCATCTACAAAAAGCAGACAGAGGGAAGAACCTCGCTGCCATGATTTTCCTACACAGTACAGAACTCTGCTCTCCTACTAAGTAATAACCTAATCTTTGTTCTTCTTCCCCAGCTGGCGGACATGGTGAGTAATCTTTATTTACACCATGTTTTAACCAAGCTCCAAAATGTCATACATCTGGAAAGATGAGTTGGAACAATGTGTTGCCTGCCATCTGATAAAAATTTTATCTGGGCTTTCTTTGCTGCCTGGTACTGGTAGCAAAGACCTGCTGCCTCCAGGAAATCACTATTCTAGCTGAGCTTCACAGATATTTCTCAACCAACTGGTTTGCTCTTTTATTATTATTAATATTTTAATGACTAACATCACCATTCACCTTACTGTTAGATTTTTATGTAATATTTATCCCTCCCTTCATTTCTCTCTATGAATTTGTTGTATTGTCTCTGTAGTCCAGTGGTTAGGGATTGAGATGCAGAGGGCAGAATAAAAGTAGGTATGATCAGATAGCAAGTAAGCAGAATGTGCAGTTTGGATAGTGCTAAAAATTCATGGAGCTCTTGCCTGATGTTAATTACCGAGTTGGCTTAATATCTTTCAGTGCCAGTTCTCAAGTATTTTACAAATGCTTCTTACATGATATTTTTGTATAATCCATTATCACCCTTTTATATAATTATACCCTTTTACCTTTTATATAAACCCACCAAAGCATGCCCTCTGATTGATTGTTCATTCATTCAACAAATATTTCTTGAAAGCTTACTGCATGCCAGTCTCTTTCCTAGGCACTGGGACACAGGGTTGAATAATGAACATGATTCCTGTCTTCATAAACATCCATCCTCAAGGAGGATCTGGATAATAAATCAATAAGCAAATGAAAGGATTCAGAATCCTATAGTTGCTATGAAAGAGACAGAGCATAGGATGCTCTGTCACAGAATAATGTTAGGGGAGTGGAGAGATGCTTTTGGAGGGCTCTTCTTTGAGGCAGTGAAATTGGAGTTTGAACTAAAGAATTAAAAAGAGCCTGCTTTGCAAGAGCTAGGCAGAGGGCATTGCGGGTGCAAAGGCCATGAAACAGGACAGACCTAGGCATTTCCTAGGGACTGAAAGAGCCCAGAGTTACAGACATACTGAGGGAGAGAAGGCATGTTAGCAAATGGGAAGTAAGCAGGGGCCGGATCAAGCTGGGCTTTGCAAGTTACAATAAGGAGGCTGGATTTTATTTGAGTTGTTACAGGAGGGTATTAAAGAGTTTGTTGAAAATATTGATGGGAGGAGTATGATCTGATGGGAAGTTTTTAAAAACTTACTTGGACTACTCTGGGGAGAGTGGATTGTTGGGGAGGATAAGTGTAAAATCCAGAGCATTAGTTAGGAGGGTGTTATGGTAGTCCAGACACAGATGATGGTGGCCTGGACTGAGACCACCAGTGTTGTGCTTTAGTTGTGTGGCAGTGGTTTGGGCTGATACTTGCCTCCCTCTGTTCTTTCCATCACCTTCTTTGTGGCAAGCAGCAGCTATCAGTACGTAGTATGTGGGCACAGGAACATGTTTGATGGATCTCCACAGGGTGATCCATCCTTGAAGAGGGACTGCTGGGTACCGTGGCAACTCAGCCTAGCATTCTTCAGAATCCTTGAGATTCCTGTCAGTTTGCTGTGTTTCAGAGGTTGTATTTTGCAAGCTGAATTTGCCCTTAGGTATTTTTTTTCCTGGAAACTTGAATTTGTATATATCTTCAGCCTGTGCTGTGAATCTTTTTTCTTCCTTTATCTCTGTTGCACCTGAAGCAAATTGTTGTTGTTTCCATATGCAAATAACAGCCCAAACAAAAAGGAGAACCACTTGCATGTTTGCTCATAAGTCTACTCATTTTTTTAATTGTAAAACTGACATGATCTCCATTAAAAAAAAAAAATCTGCTCAACCCACTGGTTAGACTCAGAGACTAAGAAATTACATCCTGTTTCCACTGAGATGATTAACTTGATTTGGGTTTGAACATTTATTCTCACTAGACAGATGATAACTCCTTTTGCCTGTGAAGGTCATGGAGTGAATGACCAGAAGGAGATAATAATCCAGTGCTAAGGTGGGCAAGGCCCAGGTGGCCCATGGCTAAGGGACCGCCTCCTTGGCCTGCCTTGGGGAGCCCTAGCAAGTCTGAGTTCCTGAGGTCACCTGTGAAGAGCTTGTGGCCTTGTACTGTGTTTATTGTCTCTGAATCTGACTTGCTGGTATCCGAATGAGAGAAGGCCCCCCTCCAAGGGAAACACATCACTGGGATTTCCTTTTGCTAACCTATATGCCAACACCAGGCATCTTACACATTGTTAAAATTTTGGTCTTCTTTCTATACCTGTTACAAATAACTGTTTTTGTTTGACTCTTCTTTTATTTATTCAACATTTCTTAAATATCTACTGTATGGCAGGACTAATAACCTGGAAGATCAAGAGAGACACAGTTCCTATCTCCAGGTGTCATAAATTAGCGGGAAAACAATCAGATAATCATATATTAATTGCCAACTGTGATAGGTGCAGGGTACTGGGATCAGGATGAGTAAATTAGGACCAATGAATAAGGATACATAAATCTGTAATTAACACTTAAGAGTTCAACAAGCATAATTCAAACTTTCTCTATGTAATAAGACATATTTGTTCTGTAAACTTGCATTTTAACTGTTATATAAAAAATAATCAGTTATAGTTTTCCTCATTCTCCTTTAGTGATTATAGTTCTCTCTCTCGCAATGAAAAAGTCTGTCATAATTATAACGGTAATGGCCAACATGTATTAAGCACCTACTATGTGCCTGGCACTGTTGCTCTAAGTGCATTACCTGTGCTGATTCATTTAATCCTCAGCACAGGCCTATGCAATCAGTGATATTATGACTCACATTTTACAGATGAGGAAGTTGAGGCACAGAAAGGACAAGTAATTTGGAAAAGGTCACATAGTCAGTAAGTCGTTGCGTGAGGGTTCTAAACACTACCCTTTATTGCCTACTCTCTGTATCTAATGGTCTGATCTGAATCCTGCCTCAGTTCTCTTCCAATTTTTCTGAAGTTATCAAAAGGTCTTTCGTAGCCATTCCTTTCTAATCCTTATTACATTTCCTCATCAAGGAGAAGCAATTATGTTTTAGTTAAACTTCCAGCAACAAAACATGAAACCTTTGATCTAATCTCTGCAAGTCAAAGAGCATTTCCAGGTGCTCTCTTGTTTAGAAGGCATTTGGTAACTAACTTACCAATTTTACAAAAAATCAGATTGAATTCTAGACTTTTTGTGTGTGTGTGCTTGATTTAAAAGAACTAACTCAGCTTTTGGAATAGCATCTTTAATTATTCAAGATTTAAATATTAACTATTTTACGTTTGTTTTAATATTTAAATTATTATTTGATGTTTAAATATTTGACCAGTTAACATTTAAAATTGCTTTGCCTTCCGCGTGCGTGTGTGCGTGCGTGTGTGCGCGCACATGTGTGCCTGTGTCCGTGCGTGTGTGCGTGCATGTGCGCGCGCGCGTGCCTGTGTGCGTGCGTGTGCGTGCGTGTGTGTATGCGCGTGTGTGCGTGTGCGTGCGTGTGTGTGCACGCGTGTGCGTGTGCGTGTGTTGTCTTAAAGTAAGCATGCTACGTGATAGGGGCATACATATTCTTGTCCTTTAGGAAAACCCGAATGCCCGGTGCACCCGACCGAGTTGGTGTTTGCCTTCGACCAGTCCCGGGGTGTCACGGAGCAGGACTTTGAGCGGATGAAGGCGATGACGGCGTCCCTGCTGACACCGGTCCGAGTCCGGGGGAACAGCTGCCCCGCGGGCGCGCGCGTCGCCGTCGTCTCCTACGGCTCCCACGGCTCCCACGCCAGGCGCCTGGTCCGCTTCTCGGATGCCTACGAGAAGAGCCGGCTTCTCGGGGAAATCGCGGCTATCCCTTACGAGCCGTCCTCGGATGGTCGGCAGATCGGCAGAGCCATGAGGTTCATCTCCAGGAACGTCTTCAAGCGAACGCTGCCGGGGGCTCACACGAGAAGAATCGCCACGTTTTTCAGTGGCGGCCAGTCGGCCGACGTCCAGTCCATCACCACGGCCACCATGGAGTTCAGTGCCCTTGACATCGTCCCCATCGTCATCGCTTTCAGCAACGTGCCCTCCATCCAGCGCACGTTTGCGGTAAGAGGGGGAAGCCTTCCGCATAATTTTTATTTTTTAATTTTTAAAAATTTTTTTGCCTGTATTCCGAAGCCTCTATAAGAACGTGTAGAACTGTACTTATTTGACTTTAATATCAAGGTTATTTGTTCAGAAGTTTTTTAAAAATCTGGGTTGGCAGAGTAGAATGATAACAAGTGTCTATTACTATGTCCTGGGAACATACTAAGCCCTTTATGTGCATTATCCTGTTTAATTCTCACAAGTGGAATGTACCAGACAGATACAGTTGTTGTTCCCATTTTATAGATGAGGAAACTGAGCCTGGAGAAGTTAAGCTCCTTGCCCAGGCTCACGCAGCTAAGAAGCCGGCAGTGTCAGGACTTGACTGCAGGTTTGCTACTCTGGTGCTTCCCCAAACTTTTCAGTTGCCTCTGGATCTAAAGATACTGAATGAGGAAGCCAGTAAACATGCACAGATGCCACTAAGATAGCCAGGGTAGTAGTCATTGCTGTACGATGAAAACGTATTGGCTGACTTTATAACTTCACCATTTATGTAAAGATCCGAATTTTAAAAAGGAAAAACCATTCCAGTTATGACTTCTTAGACTGAAGATTAAAATGTTAATGCATAGCATTCCTAAATAAACCACCTGGAAATAAGACAGCCATGTGTAACTTTATTTTTTATTTTTATTTATTTATTTTTATTATACATACATATGGGGTACAGTGTTGGTTTTCAATAATTATGTAGAATGTGTGGTGGTTAGATCAGTATAGTTAGCTTGTTCATCATTACAATATGCAATCATTCTTTGTGTCCATTGACCAATTCCTCATTAGCCCTCCTCTCTCTTCCCCTTCCCTCCCCTTTTCCACCTCTAGTTTTCTAAAAGTTCAATGTATTACTATGTTGTTTCTTTCTTTCCTTCTCTCTCTCCATCTCTCTTTATTTGTTTATTTATGGATTCAGCTTCCAGTTATGAGTGAGAACATGTGGTATTTCTCTTTCTATACCTGGGTTGTTTCGCTTAGGATAATTTTCTTCAAGCTCATCCATGTTGTTGCAAATGGTAGAATTTCATTCTTTTTTATGGCTGGGTGGTATTCCATTGTGTCTATATACCACAATTTCTTTATCCAGTCATCCATTGATGGACATTTAGGTTGGTTCCATCACCTAGCTATTGTAAATAGAGCTGCAATGAACATGGGAGTGCAGGTATCCCTTTGACCTGATGTTTTCCATTCCTCTGGATATATCCCCAGGAGTGGGATTGCTGGATCATATGAAAGTTCTGTCTATAGTTGTTTAAGGAAATCCCATGCTGTTCTCCATAATGCCTGTACTAATTTACAGTCCCACCAGTGGTGCAAGTGGGTTCCTCTCTCTCCATATGCTCACCAGCATTTGTTATTCTCTGTCTTTTTTATAATAGCCAGTCTGATTGGGGTGAGGTAATATCTCAGAGTGGTTTTGATTCGTGTTTCCCTGATGATTTGTGATGTTGAGCATTTTTTCATATACTTGTTGGCCATTTGTATGTCTTCCTTTGAGAAATGTCTATTCAATTCCTTTGCCCATTTTCTAATTGGATTATTTGTTTTTCTGCTGTAAAGTTGTCTGACCTCTTTGTGTATTTGATATTAATCCCTTGTCAGATGCATATTTTGCACATATTTTCTCCCATTCTGTAGGATGTCTTTTCACTCTATTGATTGTTTCCTTCACTGTGCAGAAGCTTTTTAGTTTGATATAATCCCATTTGTTTGTTTTTTCTTTTGTTGCCTGTGCTTTCGGCTTTTGGGGTGTTATTCATAAAGTCATTGCCCAGTCCTAAATCCTGGAGCATTTCCCCTATGTTTTCTTCTATGAGTTTTAAAGTTTCAGGCCTTATATTTAGGCCTCTAATCCATTTTGAGTTGATTTTGGTATGCGGTGAAAGGTACAGATCAAGTTTCATTCTTCTACAAGTGGATATCCAGTTTTCCCAGCACCATTTATTGAAGATGTAGAAAACTTAAGAAACTCTACCAAAAAACTCTTAGAGCTGATAAATGAATTCAGTAAGGTTGTAAGATACAAAATCAACATACAAAAATCAATAGCATTTTTATACTCCAGCAACAACCTAGAAGAAAAAGAGATAAAGAAAGCAAGCCCATTTACAATAGTCTCCAAAAAAGTAAAATACCTAGGAATAAATATAGCTAAAGAGGTGAAAGATCTCTACAGTGAGAACTACAAATCACTTCTGAAAGAATTTAAAGAGGACACTAAGAGATGGAAAGACATTCCTTATTTGTGGATTGAAAGAATCGATGTAGTAAAAATGTCAATACTACCCAAAGCCATCTACAGATTCAATGCAATTCCCATCAAAATATCAATGGCATTCTTCACAGAAATAGAAAAAGCAATCCTAACATTCATATGGAACAACAAAAGACCCCGACTAGCCAAAGCAATTCTGAGTGAAAAAAGTAAAGCTGGAGGCTTTAAAACACTTCCTGACTTCAAAGTATATTACAAATCTGTAGTAACAAAAACAGCATGGTACGGGCATAAAAACAGACATCTGGACCGATGGAGCAGAATAGAGGACTCAGAAATCAACTCATGTATTTATAGCCAACTGATCTTTGACAAAGGCACCAAGAACATACATTGGGGAAAAGACTGCCTCTTCATGTGTAACTTTAAAACACCCTGTCAATCATGGCTCAATGACAGGGCTCCATTATGGAGTACCTGCTGGACCCAGCAAAGCATCCTTCCAGTCAGCTGTGTCAGCCCAACACGGTGCTCTGTTGTCCATTCATGTGGTGACCGGCCATGAAGAGGGGCCCACAGAGCAGCAAAGGGATATTGGAAAATGCAACCTAAATAAAAAGGCCAGCCATTTGAAATTTACTTTCATTTAGAGAAAAGAAGGTTAGAAGCAACTAAATCATTGTCCTCAAGTGTGTGAAAATGATTACTGAAGAATATCAGCCCACTGAAATCTAACTATGCAAAATCTCATTTTAGAGAAACTAGGGGTAATAGCAGTAGAGAACTTTAAGTTAGGTTTGCGTAAGAACTTTCTGAAGGCAATTTTTATTTACTGTTGGCATACACTAAATGGACTAAATGCAGGTGGTCAAGTTGTCACCTTTTTCTGAAGGCCTTTTATAGGGACAGTCACTCACCTGTCAAAGGTGACTTCTGTCTTTCCTGGAGACTGGAGGCTAGGATTAAGTGGCCTTTTAAGGCCCTTTCCAGCTGTATAGTTTTCTGTGAATGTGTTGAAATAAGCGGAACAGAACTGAAATATATTTCTCATCTGTAAAACACAGAAGGCGGTACTTACCTCCTAGAGTTGGTGTGAAGATTAAATGACCCAGCACTGCGCATTAGTGCTGAGTGCATAGTAAGCACTCAAGGATGAAAACGTTTGCTTTCGTTTCTGTCATTCACTTGCTCAATGCTGAACAAAACTCTGTTTAATAATTATGAAGTCTAGATTGTATAGGAGCTGAAACTGCTCTTCACATCACTGAAAACTAACTCTCAGAGTTATGCAAATGGAAAAGCTGATGTGTCAAGCTCAGAAGGGAAAATGCACATAAATCAGAAAAGACTGGAGCAAAGTTATGCAAATGAAACTGCTATGAGAAGCAACAGCTCAAAAATTCTGTAAGCGATTTTGGCACAGAGTCCTCATAATTCCCTCATCTCTTGGCTTTATTTAGTCACAAAATAAAAGACAATTTTATATGCTGGTCAAAATAATTATGGCACTTGTAATATAAACATAAATTGACACAATTCCACCCACTGTATGTGGACAGCTTATAACTTACAAAAATGTATTTTGCTGTTTTCTTAAACTTTTGAGTGCTCACAGTCTTACTTAAAGTTTGGTAAGTCTGGGTTCTCAGTTCTACCCAAATCACCTAAAAACATTTTTACTCCTTTCTTGAAGGAGTTCACTTCAAAAGGGCACCAATGAAAGTTCAATGTGTTGATAATAGACCCTCATAAATCTGAGCAGCATTGGCCCCAACACATTTTGGGCAGAAGAGGAGTTAGAAACAATACCAGAAGAAGAGTTAAGATGAAATCAGAAGTCAGAATTTGTCCCAAGGCTCATTCATCCAACAAATATTTAGTGAGCATCTATATCTAGCTCCATGACCACGCCAGTTGTCGGGTTCTTTTACCTGCCGGTAATCCTGCTGACTGGGCTGATTTTTGGGCTAGGGCTGGGTCTGGAGCAACCACACCCCTCAAGCCCATTCAGAGACTGGGTCACAAACCCTTCATATGCCAGGCTGGGTCACCAGACCCCTTCATGCAGGTCTATGAGCTAGGTAACCAGCCAAAAGGTCCTTGGAAGCCATAGGTTGGAAAGCATGGCTGCACCAGCAGACACCCGAGGCAGTCATCTGCCCACCTGCTTCACTAAATTTCTCTCTCTCTCTCCCTCCCTGAAGAACACAAGAATAGCAACAAAACTAAAAAGATACGTTGGCACACATGCGTACTAACTCCACACACACACAATTTGCTTACAAAGGATGTGCTAAAACCACACCCAGCTGGACCCAAGGTGAGGGCCTTGACCAAACTATTAAGTTTTCCCAACAATCCACCCCTTTGGGGTCCTCGCCATACAACTAGGTGTTCAGAATCTTCCACGACGTTCCCTTAGCAAGGATAAATGACCCTTACGTTCACACATTACGTATTCCATCCCAGTCCCAAAAGTCTTTAGCTTGTTGCAGCACCAACTCAAAAGTTCAAAGTCCAAAGTCTCCTCTGAGACCAAAGCAAAAGTTCTTCCAGCGGTGAACCTGTAAAGAGTCAAAAACAAGTTCATCTACTTCCAAGATATAGTGGGACAGACATTGGGTACACATTCCCATTCCAGAAGGGAGGAATAGAAAGGAAAAATAGACCCCAAACAAATCCAAAGCCCAAACAGGGCAAACATTAAGCACATTGGGGCACCTGGACCCCTAAAGTGTTG